CAAAGATTCTTGGAACGGATCTTTCCTTTCCCAAGACTGATGCTCCCTGCACCCACACATGCGGCAGTAGGAGAGCCCTGGACTGAGCTGTGGGAGTCGGGGGGATCTAACCCTGGCTCTCGCAGTAACCAGATGTGTGACCTTGAACATCTTGTCCCCATTCTGGCCTTCGGTTTCATCAACCATAGGATGAATTACTTAAATTTGATATTCTTACACTCTAGAAAAGAGAGTTGGATCATTCTTTGTGGAAACATTCCAAAATTTATTATATTTTTCAAGGAACAGAGCTCATATTTATAATTTTCTGGCCACCTCACAAATTCTTTAGCACTCTTTTCCTCAGTGATGATGGAACTAGCTTCACACTCGAGGGCTTACTGTGGTGATCACCACCTTGCCATGCTTTAGTGTCTTTAAGAAATTATTTTTAACTCTGTACTTATTAGGCAAAATTCCTAAAAGCTTTGTTGTCAATCTGCTTTTTTCTTTTGCTTCAGTCAAGGAAGTAATTGGACTTTACAAAGCCACATCTTTACCCTTCTGCACATGACAATGTGCATAGCTCTCTGTGTATCGAGAGCATGTAGAGGACAGAAAAGAAACCCATGAGCACCAGTGTCACCTTGTTGGACTTACCGCCAGCTGTTGGAGAAGCCATCAACTGTGCGGGCTACTGCTCAGTTCAGTGAATTGGCCACTCAGATGAACAAGGCATGGAGTCGTAAGTTCCTCTCTGGTTCACTTTGTGTGTGTGGACATTAAGCCTGTTCTAAGGTCTAACCTTAGCTTCTGTAACAGGCATAAATAGGTCCTCAGCTTTCCAGTCTTGGCTCTCAGATAGTAAAAAGCATTAATGGTTTTATCACAGAAGACTTATATGAAGAGGTGTAAATTAATTAAACCTCCTTAGGACAGAAAGTAGAAGCTCGCAGGCAACGTGAGCATGTGTTAGCACTTCTCACAGCTCTTCTGGTCCTGGGCTCAGCATTCACTCACTGTCCGTTCAGAGAACCATCACATTGTAATGAGGAAAAGGATGGGGGCTGGAAATTATAAAACCACTCTGTTGAATGATCATATATGTACGATTGTTTTATTTCAGTTGATAACCCCACAACAATTTCATTCAACAATTAAAATCACAAAGAGACACCATATCTAGAAATATTACAGATAGTAAATGAAAAATTGATATATTTTAGGCTAAAAAGCCCAAAGAGGTTAGGCTGTCACATCTAAAAAGCTCCTGTTTAAAATAGCCAACTGGGGTTTAGTATTCCTAATGGAAGAGGTGAACACGGTGATAACAAATTATATCATTTTATCATTTTTTTAGTCAAAAACTTTCTTGATGTGTTGCCTCTAGTGCCTGTTGGAGAAGCCGCTGCAGTAGCTGCTGCCACCACTGCCCGAATAGGCCACCGCCCAGGTAGGAGTCGGAGATGCGGCGAGGCCGCTTTTACCACCGTGCCCAAGGAGGGAGGGAAAGGAGGTAAAAAAAGGCATGGAGGTAAGAATGAGAATGAATCTGAAAAAAGAACTAGTGGTTGAAGAAGATGGGCAATATCATGCTCAAGTAATCAAAATGTTGGGAAATGGCTGCTTAGAAGCAACACGTTTTGATGGTGTAAAGAGGTTGTGTCACATCATCGGGAAATAGAGAAAAAAGGTTGGGATAAATACATCAGATATAACATAGGTTGGTCTATGAGACGACAGGACAATAAAGCTGATGTAATTTTAAAATACAATGCAGACGATGCAAGAAGTCTGAGGGCATGCGGTGAGCTAAAATCAATGAAGCATACATTCGGCCCTGCAGATGATGATGAAATCCATTTTGGGAGATGTTGATGAAGACATGGATGATATCTAAACTGACCTCAACATTTTACATTCAAATTTCTCTGAGGATTGTTCAACAATTTGGATTTTGGCTGTGGCCTATGAAAGAAGATTACATTTATCATTAGTTGGAATGCAGTTGGTTAAAGCAGAATGATTGGTTTCTAAGGTATTTCTCTGCAAACTGGTAGTGCTGAATTAAATGAAATGTCAAGCCACTTTGTTCTTTTGGTGTAATGGAGCTTATGGGTAAAAGAGCACATCTACTATTTTCAAAAAGAGGGAAAGCATTACCTTTCCTACTTTGATCACTTTCAGTAAGTAAATGGATGTTTTGAATAAACCATTTGTCCTATGCCCGTGGGTTATGAGTGAGCCATAGTTTTGGCTGGCCTGTTGACTGTACAGGGACTTTCTGTGTATTTCAGTTAGCTAGATGTACCCTTGAGGTTTTGAAAAAATTTAAGGGAGGCAAAAAATTGCATCTGCAGTCAGAAATGATTAGGTCTGTTTTTCATATTTAAGTTAGCATGTGACTATTTTTATACTAATTTTGGTATCACATATATTCTTTTCATGATCTTCTTTTGCCACTATAAACATCAACGGATATTTCCAAGATGTAGATTTTAGAACCTGGGTTTAAATAGCAATTTTTAATTTGTAAAGATAGTAGTTGCAGAAATTGAACACCAGGTGGCACCCAGTTATCTTAATATTGGAAATACTGATATAGTCAATTCTTCTTTTAAAAAACTTACTGTGCATGGGAAAGTTCTCAACCAAGAAGATTGTTTAGATCATATGCATGTGTATGGAATATTTTTACAGAAAAGATTATGTTGTGTCACTTTATTTTATAAGTCACATACATGTAAACTATAATTCTGAATGCTGTATAAATGAAAATTTAATTTCATACAAAAATTAAAGCTAACTTTCTTGATTTTACAATGCAATATTAAAAGGAAGAATTGCCTTCCAAAGCATGTTGGATTTAGGCTAATACTTTAATTAGTTTTTATTTTTTCTCTGAGAGTATTCTGATTAAACTGTAGGGTAAATCTGCTGAATGATGAATGGAAAAATAATAGATTTTTGAAATATATCTTCCAGGGAAATAAAATAACTATGAAATATAAACTTTGCTACCAAAAATAAAGACTGGACTATATTTAGAGGGGGAAAGGCCACACAGGTGTCACTTAAACAGCGTTATACATATGTGGCTCTAGAATTACTTAAGATGAAAAGGACAAGTCAATTCTATAGCTGTGCATGCTCACAAGAACAAAGACAGACTGAGAAATAAATACCTCACCGCCCAGATGCGTGCTGGCTAGGGAACAGGCATGGCAGGATGGTCAGTGCTTTTATAGGCACAAAGATGTTTTGATTTGGATGTTTCTAAAACCCGGAGCTCATTTTCTGACTGGAGACAGATCTACCATTTCCTTTTACACTTCTGCTACCAAATTTCACTGCCTTGTTGTCCCACCTTGTTATTAAGAACATACTACCATAACACTGCTGAGAGGTATCGGGAAATAATTTACACAAAGGACAATGAAAAGGGAAGATTGTGAGGTTTCTAGATACTAAGCCAAGCTTTTCCTTTTCCACTATTACACACAGTTATTAGTCTACTCTTGATTCCAAGTGGCTGAGTTTTCCCACATAGTATTTCACTGGCTCTTTACAACCACCTCCTCAATAACTATCACAGGCATTATCTTCATCCCCTCCAAGAGGCTCTACCAGGGCCACAGAGGTGACAAAGCCAAGGCTGGATCAGATCTTCTGGTTCAAAAACTCCAAATTCCAAAATTAGAAACACCAAACAAAGGAGGTGACTAGAAAGTGGGACAAAGTCTCCATAAGTCTGTTATGTCACTGAATCTCATGGTTACTCCTCCCCCACCTTGTATGTCACTGAGGAGTGGAAATGTGATGGGTTATGCCTCCCCAAAATACCTCCATTTTAAAAGAGAATCAAATTTTAAGTCAAAGGAATAATGGCTATGATGGGACCTAGGCACCAGTGACAAAGGCATCTTGCCCTTAAATCGTACCAATAAGAGTAAAAGCTGGTGGGAATGAAAAAATGGCTAACAGCCACATTCATGAGGTGTTGTGTCTACGTTTAGAGATTCTATGCTTCACAAGCATGAAGACAAGAGAAAGACTTAAAGAGAAGCCTAAGTGGTCTGAGTCACAATAACTGCGAGGTGGGAGCAGTACCACCCTCAGACCCAGAGAACCTGAGCCCCTCCCCAGAGCCCCACACACTTCAAAGGTTCTCTACCTGTACCCCTCCCATTGAGGGTCAGAAGACCAGTAAGCCAAGGGGACATATCCATTCTGAGCCCAGGCTTTTCCATCTTGACTTGCTCCAGGTACCCAGAACCCCTTAGTTCCTTGTACAAATGGCTTCCAGGGTCTCTGTGGCTTCTTCCTCAGGTTCATCCTCATAATGATGGGCTTCACCACCTATGGACACAGCCCTAGGCCTGAGGGTGGCCATGGGGCAGTATGCAGGAAGAGGGTCTGGACACAACTTGGCCATGCATACTGAGTTGTCCATGTGCATGCACGTAGGGCTCCTCACAGTGAGATCAGGACAGGAATGAGAAGAGAAGGATTGAAGAAAGAACTGGGAGACTGTTTTGTATTCTTGCTCCAACTCCACAAATGCTAGGAGTGAAATGAAGCCTAAGAACAATCCCAGAGATGGGTTACATCAGAGTCTGATGAGTAGCTGAGATTGTCCAGAAAGACCCTCATCCTACAAGTGCCACAGTCTAGATGGCTACTCAGGTTCCCCTCTGGGGCCTCCTTAGTCCAGGCTGCCCCAACATTTTTCTTAGCTTAATCCCTATTTCTTTTTGCCTATCATATGCCATCAACATATATAGGTTTTACCATTGCCTACTCTTTGCACAAATTAGATGTTCAGTGAATGTCGGTCACTGGTGATAGTGTCTAGTCACCTCAGTTTTAGAAAATCTAAGCTCCTTGAACACAATATTTCCATAGTTGTCCATTTGCTCTGCCCTCTGAGGCAAACCAAGAGTTCTTGGTTAACAGCGTGTATCTAAGCACACCCGTCAATGTCCCAAAGGTCCTGTTTAAACGTTGAAAGGTCCCCTGGGTTATTTTAGCCTGATGCAGTCCACCTCTTCCGTGGCGGGCACCCCCACGGTTTTGAGATCAAGGTCCGCGCTGGACTTGCTCCCATTATAAGAAGACTTCCAGTGGAGCAGCACGATCCTCTTGAAGTACTTGATGGTGTTGTTCTTGACGGTCACGAAGCACAGGGTGTTGATCATGCTGTTGCTCATGGCGATGCACTCCACGATGTAGAAGGCCGTGAGGTAGTGCCTCTCCTTCACGAACACCGTGGGGAAGAAGTCGCGCACGATGGTGAAGCCGTAGAAGGGCGCCCAGCACAGCACGTAGGCCATGAGGATGCACATGAGCACCAGGACTGTCTTCCGGCGGCAGCGCAGCCGCTTCCGGATCTGCTCCGTCTGGAAACCAGGTACGGCCTTGAACCAGAGTTCCTGTGAGATCCTAGCATAGCACAGGGTCATGGCGACCACGGGGCCCACGAACTCGATGCCGAAGATGAAGAGAAAGTAGGACTTGTAGTAGATCTGCTGGTCTACCGGCCAGATCTGGCCGCAGAAGATCTTCTCCTGGTTCTTGACGATGATGAGAACCGTTTCAGTTGTGAAGTAGGCTGAAGGGATGGCGATGAGGACGGACACCGCCCACACCAAGGCAATCAAGCCCGTGGCTGTTTGATACTTCATCCGGGGTCTCAAGGGGTGGACGATGACCAGATATCTAGGACAGTAACACAAACGGGTCAACCACTGTGACAAGGAAGTGCTGGATGATGATATTTTTTGCAACTGAATGGTGTGTATGGAGGAAAAACACAATGGTATATGGGCCTTCTAGAAAGGCATACTTGAATTCAAACCCCAGTTCCACCCTATACTAGCTGTTGCAACCTCAAACAAGTTTCGTTTAATCTCTCTGAATCTCAGTTTTCTTATCTGCAAAAGTTTTTGTTTTTAAGGACTGAATATACTAATGTATACACAATTCCTGGCATGTACTCAATAAATGGCATATAATCAATAAATGGTAACTATTATTATTAAATGCAGCAATAGTGCCTCCCCTCAGTTTCTAGCCTGGCATTATTCCCAGCTTCTTCCTGTTTTCAGAACCATTCATCCTCATTACCCCATAGTTTAGAGCTAAAAGGGCCTGATAATTTCATAGACTCATCACTGGGAGAACTTGCCCTTTTTAGTGAGAGCAGTGGGCAAAGTTTTGTATTCATGCCACACTTTTAAAAATATTGCTCTGCATGCAAAGAGGGAGGGAAAGTATGCAATCATTTATTTTCCTTTGTAGGTGGAAAAATAGAGGTCGGCAAGAGATGAGTGACTTTCTCGATGTCATATACCATAGGACCCTTGATAGAAAACGTTGAACCCTATCTCACATGGTTGATGTGAACATCAATTGAGAATATATATAAATGTATTTTTTTTAACCACAAAGCATCAGGCAGTAAAAGATACTACTTTTGTTAAAAAGAAAAAAGAAAAGAAAAAAAAAGCAGTGCTGTTACCACAGTGGTCCAGGAGCACAGAGAGAGTGCTTTCTGGGGGATGTGAATCGTGTGTGTGGAATGAAAGCCTCCTTCCCAGTGAGAGTGCACGCACTTATGCAGGGAGGTTTGATTTCCTGGAAGACTTTCTGGTCTGGCAGGGGGTGGAGGTTGGAGAAAGAAAAAGATAAGAAGGGAGGTGGGAGGGAAATGACTAGTCAAGGTGGAAATAAACACATTTTCACATGCTCAAAGCTTATTCCAGGTACAGCCAAGAGCAAATGTGACAGAGGTATGAGGAGTTCTGTTTTTTTTGAAACCAATCCCTTTGAGGTGGCCATCTCTCTTAGAATTTTGACAGTAAGAGTAGGTTCATTCTTATTTTTTCCCCTTCTGATTATATTATTGCCATTTCTGTACATTTCTCTGCCCCCCCCCCCAACCCAAGCAGCCAGCTCCACGGAGTGTCATATGGAGAGCTGACTGGAGTGAGAGTCCTGCTGTCTTACAGCTCTCAGAGGACAGATGGAGCTGGCTAGGCCGGGTCCACCAGCCCCAACCCTTGGTGCTCTTGCCAATCTCTGAGTGCTGAAGGGTGGGATGGCAGAGTCTGCAGGGTGCTGGCTGTGCTTCTGTCGGTGCACATGTATGTGTGGGCCCTTCATAAATGCCACGGGGTTCCTGCTACAACGAGGGCACAAACCTTGCTCTGACTTATGGCAAAAACTAAGAATTGAGTGTTTTGGCTCTCACTGGCTCTTTCCCTCTCTATCTACCCCATCATGTTCTGTTGATTACTTTGTCAAAGAGTATTACTATATTCATACTTGTTCAGTAGATGAATATTTACTATACAGTTCTAGTCCTTCTTTGCCCAATCATAACTTCCTAAGTCTTTATAATGTTTCAAAGTCAGTGTTTTTTTTTAATGAGCAAATGAAGAAAATGCTGATCTAGGAGTTGGAAGACCAAGAATTTAATCCCAGTTTTTCCCCCTTGTTACGTGAATTTGAGCCATTTTTCTTAGCCCTGTGGTCTCAATTTCCTCATCCATAACATGGGAATATCACTGCTTCACCATCCTTACAGAGATACTGTGAGGCTCCAATCAGACATTGTATGTAAACAACAATAGGCTATTAATACACAAGAAACTGTTAGCATCCTAAAATGTATTTTTCAGAGCTCTTCTGTAAACATAGCAATTTCCTTTCACCTGCTTTTGGCAAATACTGCATTTCTATTTTATTGGACCTATTTTATTGATTCCATTTAGTTTCACATCAAAACAAACCTTCAGCATAATCTGTGACTACCCAGCAGATAGTTGCTTCATCCTGGCTTTCTCTGACATCACCTTAAGTCCATCCCCAGGCTTAGCACCAAGAACTGCACAAGAGGCCTTCCAAATACATGTGCCAATAAGCAAACTGCAGAAATTGTTTTAAGGATTGCCACCAGCCTTGGCTATGCTAGAATCAAAACTTGGAACTGTAGTATTAATACTTTTTTATATATGTAAAGCAACTCACAATTTGCAGAACCTTTTCAAATCCACTTTCTCATTAGAGTGGGTAAGAAAGCAAAGACACCCATTTTACTGATGAGCAAACTGAGGTCTGGAGAGGCTAAATAGCCTGTTGAAAGCCACATAGCTGGAAATTGACAGAACCATGATGCAGACCCATCCATACCTTGCTCCAAATACAGTGGGCTCTAAAATATTCCAGTTGTCCCTTCCTTTTCCAACCAGAGCAAGCAAAACCCCTTCCTCCAACCTCCTCCTGGCATCCTAACAGTCCTTGTCTTTTTTCTCCATCACAGTTGGTTTCTACCTATTGATGTTCCAAGAAGGAGTCAGGCAACTGGCAGCTACTATTCTCTGCCTATAAGTATGCCCTTGGCTTGCCCCGTGTGTCCACCACTACAATGGCTCAGGTCCAGATTCACTTAGGGAAACATTTCCCAGAGAACAAAGAATGAAGGCTGCTAGAAAAAGAAATGTCCAGGCAGTGATTGTGTGATGATAGTGAGCTGGGTGATTAAACAAAGAGCATCGGGCTCTCGCTCTGTCTCCAGGACCCAGCCCCATGTAAAACCATGGAAGTAGAGGTTGCAGCAGCTACTAGGCTGGTCATGGGATGGGCAGGGATTGCATAACTTGCGCCTGGGACAACCAGCTCCAACCAGTTAGCTCACGGGGAGCATTTGTTCTACTTAGGACTGAGTGTGATTACTCATGCCACACTCAGAAGACTGCTGCCAATGGGCAGGCAAAATGATCAGCTTCCTCTGGATTTGGAGTAAAAGAAGGGAGGGTCCCCCAAAGCCCCATGTGCTCTGGGATATGAGGGATACACTTCAAGGACAGTGCAGGTGTCTCAGAATCAAAGAAGAAACCCAGGTGTGGAGGACCAGGGTCTTCTGTTGATCTTTTTCAGTTTCCTGTTGCCATCAGGTCTGACTCCCCGTGCCTAGATGTTGAGACCTTCTGGATTATGACCCTATTCTCTGCTTATGAGTATGTCCTTGGAGTATGGCTTGGGGTATGAGTATTTCTTGCCCCGTGTGTCCACCACTACAATGGCTCAGGTCCAGATCCTTGGGCCATTTCTGATCTCTACTTTCCACATGTTCCTTGCCTCTTCTCACATACCTCTGCAAAGAACCTCATAGCTCAAGCATTCCCACTTTTAGGCTATTGCAAACACTGTTCCTCTTGGAAAATCTTTCCTCTACTTTGCTGATCACCACGTGCTGAAAGCCCATTAAAAGCCTCCCTCCTCCATGAAGCTTCCTCTGACTATTCAGGTACATGATGATCTCACTCTTTTCTAAATTTCATTTAAAATTTATCCTTTACTTTATCCTTTAACTGTGTCATACATGTTAGCTCACTCCCTGTCTCTCCTGACCCCGCTCTAAGTGCTAAGCTCCCAAGAGCAGGGCTCATTGTCTTACTTCTTTAATAAGCTTTTGTTGTCTGTGAATTCTGGGCACCTAGGATTTTAGTGAAACTTCACTCTCAGCAGTGCCTGGCACTATGCAAATAGAAATGTAGCCAGCCCTGGTGACAGTTTCAAAAAGATTATAACCTTTTTTGGAAAACAAGACATAAATGTGTTTACCCTGCATGAGACTGGGAGACAGCCTGGAGCTCAATAATGAAAGGCTGCAAAAAGTGGGCGAAAGGGTTTGAGGCATGTATTGTAAACAACAAAGTTATTGGAGGTCTTTAGAGCCAGCCAGGGGAGACAGACAAGACAGAAGATTAATCCAGCTACAGTCTCGCTTTCCCTCGGGCCACGGGGCCCTTCTCACTATTCCTAGAACCCATCAGGTTTGTTCCTGTCTCGGGCCATTGCACTTATAGTTCTCTTTATCTGCAATGCATTTTCCTGATCTTCACAAGGCTGGCTTTTTCCCCCCTTTTCCATCCATTCAGAAGTGGGTTCAAATGTCTTTTCCTCAGAGACACTTGTCCTGCCTGACTCCACACCTAGTAGTTCCCACCCTCAGACTTGACGTTTTTGTGTTTGTTCTTGTTTGTTTGTTCTTATTCAGAGTCTTTCTCACACTCTAACATTACCTTTCTTGTTTGTTTGCCTGACTGTTAGCTCTCTCCATCCAGCAGATGTAAGCTCCATGAAAGCAAGGAGTTTCTCTTATTCACCATCATATCATCAATGGTAGGAATAATATCTGTCATGTGTAGCCACTCTGTGAAAATGCATTGTATGAATGAATGAATGAATGAACGAATATTTAGGGTGGATGACGAGGGGATTATGGTTGGCAGACAGCAAAGCCAAGAAACACAGAAGGCCAAGAGGAGACTATGATAGCCCAGCCCTGAGTGAACTGGAGAGAGAGTGGTGAGTATTGGGAGGGAGTGGTGAGTATTGGCAGGACCTGGAAATGGAATGAATGCTGGAGAAAGAGAGAGCATGGCCAGGACAGAGGGGACTTGCTAGTTTAGATGCCTGGGAGAACCAAGAAACCAATAACAGAAACAGAGAAGTTCAGGGAGGTAGGAGAGTAATAGTTCTGTTCTGCTATATCTTGATAGCTGTGTTTCTTAGAAATCTTGTATTATTATTTTTTAAGTCACATAATTTAAAAATTACTTTAATGAAAAACAAAGAGGTCAGCCAATCAGAAATATTCATTTGCTTATCTTTTTCTTTTGGTTGCCATTCCTTTAAGGGTAATTCAAGAATTATGATTTCTACTGTTTATTTAGCATTTACTCTTTTTTAAAAGGACTTTAAAAAATATTAATTTATTTATTTTTAGAGAGGAGAAGGGAGGAAGAGAGGGAAACATCAATGTGTGGTTACCCCTCGCATGCCCCCTTCTGGGGACCTGGCCCACAACCCAGGCATGTGTCCTAGACTGGGAATCGAACCAGTAACCGTTTGGTTAGCAGGCCAGCACTCAATTCACTGAGTCATACCAGCCAGGGCAGTGTTTACTCTGTTTTAAACATTGTTCAAACAGTTGTTTAAACAATTGAACAATGTTTAAAACAGTAATTAATTATTATTATTTATTTATTTATTTATTATTATTTAATCCTCAAAGCAACTTAATACATTAGGTTTTCTTTCCTTTTCTTTTAAGATTTTTAAAAATTTATTTATTTCTAGAGAAAGGAGAAGGGAGGGAGACAGAGAGGGAGAGAAATATCAATGTGTGGTTGCCTCTCATGCACTTCCAACTGGGGACCCCAACTGGCCCACATCCCAGGCATGTGCTCTGATTGGGAATCAAACCAGCGACCCTTTGGTTCCTAGGTTGGCACCTAATCCACTAAGCCACACCAGCCAGGGCACATTAGGTTTTCTTATTATTCCATTTTTATATATGAGAAAGCTGAGGGAGAGTAAAAGCAAATAACTAATATAGAGCCCTATAGCTAATAGGTGGTACACCAGGAATTTAAACCCAAGCAGAATAACTGCTGACATTATTTTCCTACACAAATTTTCTTTTAAAAAGTATTTTTATAATCATAGGTATACTGTTATATCAAGATAAAAATTAGTTGCTCAAAACTAAATAAATCAAACCTAAAAATCACTGATGACACCTTGAACAACACACAAGACCACATAATAATCAATAAGATCCTAGAGCACAAAATCGAAATCAGATAGTAAAAACACATGAAAATAAAAACAATTTGAAGCAAAGCTCACAGACATCAATAAAGGAACTTAATGCATGGAGCAGCTGGTCAGCTGGCCAAGGTCGTGAGCTGGCTCTGTGCAGGCAACAGTGCTTTCCTCTGGGTTGGGGTGTGAGTGTGCATTCACAACCCCACTTTGAACAACAGCAGTCTCCATGATGCATTGCACGTTCCCCAGCTAATCTTTCTTATTGCATTTAAGTTGCACTATATACACTCACACTGCAGTAGAAATACCTGCAGTGTTTCAGACAAGCAGAGTTTGGTATGAAGGTAGGATAAGGGCTTGCAGGAATTCAGTAGGTTGGCACAGATCTCACCCCTTACATTTAAAATAACCCAGTACCCATTAGCTTATCCTTGTTTTCCTCCCCCTTGAAGCCATTCCCTACTACAGCGTTACACCTTTGAAGAAGAGGGAGCTCACATGATAGAATGGATCTCACCCAGAGACCAGGGTCCCACCCCACAGCAGGCACCTACCTACCCCACTGTGAGTGGCTGAGAACACCCCTTGTGAAAAGATGTCTTGCTAGAACGAAACTTCAGGTAATGACTCTGTATGCTTTGTCTTACTGATGTGCTAAGAAAGATGGTGGCAGCTTCTGCTGGCAGAAAAGGTCAACAATGAGGTCCCTTGAGCTCTCCTTTCACAGCTATGAAGGGCACTTAGAGGGCAGACACCCAGCTTGACTGTCCCCCTCCTGCTCCTTCTTTAAGTCCACTCATCATGGTCCATGCCTATATGGACAAAATGCTGTGGCTCTCTGTGACTCATGTGGAAGACCCTGGCCAAAAAGAAGGGGCCATCTGCAGGGATGACACCTCTAAGCATCTTCTATGGGTGACAGACCAAAGGCTATTAAGCTGCTAACTTGCTGACATCATCCTTCCCTGGAGAAAGGAGGTCAAGGCTCCACCCCACTGTGGTTTTAAAACCTGGTTTCTTTACAAGCCCCTTTCCTCAGGAGTGGTACTTTCCAGGTTACTGTGTTCCTGACTGTACTGCCCATGGCTCCAGAAAACAGGCTCTATTTGCTGTGCCACCCCCAGGACATTGTCCTGGGGTGTCCTGAGTGTGAGGGCAGGCTGAACTCTGCCAGAGCCTTGAGGCCATGGAACAGGGAGAACATCTGTGCTTCAGGCTCTCTGGGTTGAGGGAGAGAGACTAGCTGTTCAGATCCAAGTACATAGAGGCCTGATTTGACCCTCAAGGTGACTGTCTCTACCCTGTACACAACAAGGTGCTTTGTGATGTGAACCCAACTCTGCGCAGAGGGGCTGGCACAGACTGTCCCCAGGTAACCAAAAACCACCCTGGGCATTAGCACAGGTGATTATACCAAATGAAAAGATTAAACATAACATCAGAAATACTTGCAAAGGCTGCTATTGTTGATTTTATTTACCATCCCTAGAAATAGGTCTTCTATACTGCTGCTCGCAAATACATGTAAAGGGGCAAACCGACTAATGCAATGACAAAAAAAGAGTAAGCATATGTTTCCTTTTTTTTTTTTCAAAACAAATCCCTTAATCTTATTTTAAAAATCAACTGGTGGGTGGGGTGGTAAGGGATCACATTTTAGTAGAGGAAGTCTTGATAAGATAGAAATCTACACTAAGATATCCTAGTTGACTCAAGAGGTACCTGCCTAACTTAAGCTTGTCCCTCCATACCGCTCATCAGTCTGTCTCCAGACCTTGAACAGATACCACATCTAGGAGCAGGTCCTTCACAGAGGATCCAAAGCCTTTCCGCTGCCCAACTCAAGGGGATGCTGCTACCTCCTGCCTGCCCACAGCTGGAAATCTAGAACTCTTCTCACTGTTCAGTAAATGCGCTAACTTTTGATACTACCCTTGATCTTAGCCAGAAGTCCAACAAGTGGTGGGACCAACTTTTGAGGGACCCTTATGCATCCACATCCATGGCAAATACAGGTATGTCATATCAATCACAAATGAAATGAATAATTCCAATGTCCCTCCCTTTATTGTCCCTGCTGTCCCCTCACTCACCTGTCGATGGCGATAGCCAGCAGGGCATTGGTGGAAACGTAGAGAGAGACAGTACGCAGGTAGTTGACAGAGGCACACAGGACGTGGCCATGCTCCCAAGAGAGCTGGCGCACCACGTAGTAGTCCATCTCAAAGGGGCAGCAGACAATGGCCACCAGGAAATCAGAGATGGCCAGGTTGGCGATGAGTAGGTTGGTAAGATTGCGCAACTTCTTGTAGCGGGCCAGGGCAATGATGAAGATGAAGTTGCCAATGCCACAGACCAGCATGATGCCCACCAGGGCCATACCGATGACAATCTTGGCAGCAAAGAAAGTCTGAGAATTGGTCACATCCCCATCTTCATCCAAGGGCATATCATAGTCGCCATAGCTGAAGTTGAATAGGAAGGAAGCAGCTTGGGCGCTGCGGGGGTCAAGCACAGACAGGAAGCCGGTGGCATTCTCACCTGTGACTCCCATGGTGATCTTCATTTGGCGGGGTGATGCCTTGAGCAACACTGCTGGGTTTTCCTCTGGGACAAGGTCTAGGAAGCGGATGTCTCCTCTCTTGGCTGACACTTAGCTGTGCCTTAAGGAGTCAGAGTGTCCCTGCCAGCATCCTTGGGGTGCAGTACCCGAGCTCCATCCTAAGCCCTTAAAAGACAAACAAATAGTTGGCTACATATGTGAGTGAACCCGGACAAATTAAAAACCATCCTGTAACCTAAGCAGACCCATTAGCCAACTGCTCAGAGTGAACATTGGGTAATGGAGTGGAAATAAAGAAACCAGTGAGAGAAAAGAAATGATTAACGACCACATACCCACTCACTCAGGGAAGGTTGAATTGCTATAGAGACAATCAGGCACTGCCTCAGTTCATTTCCCTGCCACTGCAGACTCTGACATGTTGCCCTTTTTCTGAGAGATGAAAGTGGGGAGTGTGGGGAGGGTGAAGAACAGGAAAGTGACCTACCTGCTCCAAACCCCATTCTCTCTCCTGACAGCCTAAAACCTTGTCCTTGTGGAATGGTCCCATTCTATTGCTTAAAGGAAGTGATTCTGAACACTGTCAAAGAGGGAGGGATTGGAGATAACCCTGTCTGCTCTCCATGAGCTGGTCTCCCTCCTTCTGGCAACACACCCCTCTAAAATCACAGAGCCTGCCTAGCACCACCTTCCCCTCTCCTCACTGGGCTTTCTGTTCCCACATCCAAGTCTGCAGGGACCCTAGAAGCAAGGCACAGCGTTTACCAAGGCTTGACCCCAGGCAGAGGCTTCTGGGGGAAAGCCACAGCCTAATCAGGAATGGCATAGAAAGGGGACCCTGGAGCAAAACCCTTTCCTTGGCTTGTTGTAAATCCTGAGGTAAATGGCTTAAACACTCAGTGTTTCAGCATCCTCCAGGCAGGAGATCAATAATGTCTGTAAGCACAGAGTTCCCAGGAGAGGTAGGATGTTACACCCTAGAGTTGCAAGGAATTCAAGCCTCCTCAGTCAGCTGCAAAAAAGGGAGGAAAATCCTGACCCAGATGACTCTACCACACCACAAAATGGGGCCAGGGTGGGGTTAGAAGTGGAACGTGGGGGAGGTAGTCTTCTGCACCACTGGGGACAAAGAACAAGAGGAAGTCCCCCTGTCCCCTGCTCTCTTCCCGCAGCCCCAGTCCCTCACGGGGTCTGGAAACATCAGTCCAGGTTGCTGAGATGTAAGGAGAGGGCTGGCGTCTGCAGAGCACTGGAAATGTCCAGAAAACCAGGGACAGATAAGTACGGAAATCTGAGGTTCCTGGAAAAGGGAGTCAAGACGCCTGGGACTCCCAGGAAAGCCTGCTGCCCAGTTCCTCAAAGGCAAGACCTCTGGGGTTTGTCTTTGGGGCACCAGGGTTAAAGTCCCTCTGGTCGCCAGTGAAGTTCAGCCCATTCTTGTCTCTGTCCCCAGCTCCTCTCCTCCACTTTTCCCGGACTTTTCCCCCTTACTCTGAACCTTCAGTTGGATCCCTCAAGCCTCACCCTTTGCCCCTGTCAGGTGTCAGGAGCAGAACCAAGAGCCGAAAGGTCAGAGGGAACCAGGCTTGCAGCCCAGACAGGTGCGGCTGCAATCCCCGTGGGGCTGTGCATACGCCTTGCAGACCCCTCTGTTACCCGGAAGTCTCTAAGTCAGGGTTTTAAAACAAAGAGTAATAAAAACTTCTTGTGGGGCAGGGGTGTTATGAGATTTTAGGATGTGGGGAGAAACTGTCCTGCGATCTTTTCTCTTCAATTCTCATCTCTCACAGAAGAGCCCTAGTCCCACCCGGTGTCCTCTGGGGACCCTGCCTGTGAGCGCGGACTCCCTAGCCAGACCTTTCCCTCCCGCACCTGGAAGCCTGTCTTCGCAGTCCCTGCTGAGAAGCCCTCTCTAGCTCCCCACCTTGCCCTCCGAGCGTCGGAGGCTACACCCAAGGGCAGAAGGAGTGGGCAGACCGGCTCCCCCGAAGAAAAGAGCTCGAGTGAGAGTCTCTTGAAAAGCTCCCTCCCCACGCCAAAGCCCCTGCACCACGCAGCCCGATGCGGCGCGGAGTCCTTGGAGCATCTCCGCGGAGGGCGCTTCGTACCTGCGGCATTCGGGCGCCCCGCAGACCAGTCCGGGTTTCTTTATTCTGAGCCCGGGGACAAAAGCCGCTTCTCCCAGAAACCCGCAGAGAGAGGACAGGTCCCTTTTTCCTTCCTCCTCTTCTCCCGGCCCTTTTCTGGCTCTGGCGGGAGCTGCGCCGCGTGCAGCAGCGACAGATCCAAGGCAGTGCGGACCCGCTAGGCCACCCCAGTCCCGCGCCTGCCTAGCACGCACTGTCTCCGCCCCCCGGTGGCCAGGCGACACCCAGGGCACCGGCTGCCGGCTCCGGAAGGCGGGCTCAGGGTCCGGGCTCGCCACCAGGATACCTAGGAGTCTTCGCACGCGACTGGGGACCCTGGTGCTGACCCCGGGCAGCTCCCGAGTGTGACCCGGAGGGAGTCGGGCCAGGAGGGCTGCGCACGTTCCCGGGACTCAGTCTCCCGAGCCGGCGCCTCGGGCAGGAATGAGGCCCCCGTGCTCAGACTAGGGCTTGGCACGGATTCTGTGCGCCACAGGTGCCCATCTGGCAGGGCTGTGCCTGCCCCAGGCCCGGGACTTCTCGGCTGGCTCACCTGGTGCTGCCCAGCGCCTCCGCCGGAGTGGGCGCGTAAGGCATGCTTCGCTGGTGAGATTTCAAAGAACCGGGAGGAGCCTCCGCTCCTGCCCGTAACACCCCTTGCAGGACACGCTGGAACCCACCCAGACCTCGTTCCTTTGGGCGAGTCCGACTGGACACCGGGATCAGCTTCATTTCATCTGCTAGTACATCTGTGCAAGAGACACTTATCGAGAACTGCTTTTCCCAAAGCGGTGAAGTGGGGGAAGTGGGCAGCGCGGCTGCCGGAAAGAGGGAGCAGCGCCCCCACCCACCCGGGGTATCTGTTTAAGAAAAGGCTGTGGTGACCTGAGCTAACTCACGGGGCACAGATCTCCTTCAGAAGTCGGACCTCTCAAGGAGTCAAATACGGACTTACTCTAGGACTCAAGAGTTCCGCTTCTAAGAAAACGGAACGCGGGGACTAAGATACTTTACACCGGTGTTCACAGCAACATTATTCAAAATTGTAATAAGATGAAAAGAACCCAAATATCCATCAACTGATGAATGGAATTTTTAAAACGTGGTATATACATACATTAGGATATTTCTCATCCTTATAAAAGAAGGAAGTATAACAGGTGTTGGTGAGAACGCGGAGAAACTGAATCCCGTGTGCACTGGTGGTGGGAACATAGAATGACACAGCCACCGTGAAAGGCAGTGTGACACTTCCTCAAAAACTTAAAAAATAGAATTACCACATGAGCCTGAAACTTCATTTGGGAATATATACCCAAAATAATTGAAAGCAGTGTCTCAAAGAGATATTTGTATACTCATGTTCAAACAGCATTATTCATAATAGCCAAAGGGTGGAAGCACCCCAGATGTCCATCGACATAAATGGATAAGTAAAATGTAGTGTATATATGCAGTGGAATGTTATTCAGGCTTGAAGGAGAAAATGCTGGCATATGCTATAACATAGAGGACTCTTGAGGACCTTACGTTAAGTGAAATAAGCCAGTCACATGAAGACGATACTGCATGAGGGGCCTGGAGTAGTCACACTCATAGAGACAGAGCTAGAATGCGGGTTGGCAGGCAGGGGCTGGTGGGAGAAGGGAAGAGGGAGTTACTGTTTAAATTTTGCAAGATGAAAAGAGTTCTGGAGGTGGATGGTGGTGACGTCTGCACAACTATTGGAAGGTACTTAACTCACTGAACTATACTCTTGAAAGTGATTAACACTGTAAATATTATGTGTATTGGTACCTGCTATAATGTGGGTGAATCTTGAAAACATCATGTTAAGTGAAATAAGCCAGACACAAAAGGACAAATATGTGATTGCACAAACATGATGTGTGCAGAGTCGGAAAGGAGGAGGATGTGTGCCAGGAGAGGAGACCTGGGGAGTTGGTGTTTAATGCATACAGAGTTTCTATTCTGAATGATGAAAAGATTCTGGAAATGTATAGTGGTAATGGTTGCATGACACTGTGAATGCACTGATGTCATTACATTGTACACTTAAAATGATTAAAATGAGCTAGAACAGCTCAGACCTTCTTAGGAAGGCACCCAAGGCCAATTGTCCACAATGGAATGGGGGCTGCCTGGGATCTGAACATTTAGTCTGCTTTGCCACTATCAACTGTGTGACTTTAGGCAAGTCACATAACCTTTCTAGGGCACACTTCCTAATTTATGAAATAAATGATTTGACTTGCACTAAGTCACTGCCATATTCTAACACTTCACATAGTATCTTCCCTGGGTCCATATCCTTTATGGACACTTTGTCCTGTCATTTGCACAAGACTTCTGCCATTTGCAAAAATGCCACAGTCCTTTCACATCTCTGAGTCTCATGTACACTAAGACAAGGAACAGGATAGTGGTTAACAGCATAGCATACAGAGTCAGCTGCCTCCTTTCTAGCTAGTTCTGCACACAGGAGCGTAACCTTGGGTGGTATGGTAACCACAGCCTAGCTTTCCCACTTGTAAATTCCAGATGACAGTAGCTGCTACTGCATAAAGTTGTTATGAGGATTAAATAAGGTAAGACAGGTAAAATGCTTGGCACAATGCCTGGTGCTTCGTGGGTACCTGATAAATACCAGCTGTTACTATCACTCTGTGATTCTTTCCATGTCTTGCTTCATAAAATATTAACCAACCTTTGAGATCTTGTTCATGGTGTCATTTGTTCCAGAAAATATTCCTTGATTCTCCCAGTGCTTTTCACACATTTCTTTACTATTTGGGGTCTCAATTTAAATGCATTTTTGTGCACCAATTTCCTCTCCACCTTGCCCTGTTGCCTGAGGAAGAGCTATGTCTCATTCAT